GGGCCTGCCTGCAGAGGTTGGGGGCAGTTCCTGCATTGAGCGTCTGCCCCCTGGTGGTCAGTGTACATCATAGCAACCAGTCATTCTGTTGTAATGGTTGCTTAAGCTTTTATATATATAGATTCAGATTTTTAAATTTCTTCTTGAGTTAGTTTTGGTAATTTGTGTCTTTTGATGAATTTCTCCATTTCATCTCAGTTATCTAATTTGTTGGTATACAGTTGTTGATAGTGTTACTTGAAATTCTTATTTCTGTAAGTAGAGCTATCTATTCATAGGTTTCTAATTAGTAAGTAGTTACTTTATCTCTCAAAGAACTTAACCCTTAAATTTGGGGGTATTTCTGGAGATAAGAACACAAAGAAACATAAAAGCAGAAAGTTACTGAGTCCCTTATTGTTGTGAACAGTAGGTAAGCACCACAACATCAGCTCCTGCCTGGCACACAGTATGGAGACAGAACCTTGGGAAAAGCATTAGGAGTGGATGGCCTTCTGCTGCTCGGTACTGACAAAGAAACAGCTTTGCCCTGCAACTTGTGGCTTCCTATAACCTCGGACAAAAACACTTGACCTAATTGTAACTTTCCGTTTGAGAGCAGAGACAACACTACCACATGCACAACTATCGGGTATTCATTTTTCATTGTAGTGTCTGCAATTCTTTAGAAACCTTATATAGGTCAGACCTCAGTATACTGAACTCCACAGGCTGACCATGTTTTTGGAAGGTCCATTTTCTCCTTGTTTTTAAGTTTCTCATTTTTACAGATTTCCCAATTCATAAAATGTTTTGCTTTTTTAAATGTAAAGTCTTGAGTGCAGGGAAGTTTCAAACTGAAATAGTATATATAGTACCTACCCTGGCAGCATGCAGGAGCCCCAAGCATGCAGTCCCTGGGCCTGGGTAAGAGGATTGTTTTGGTGAGAAGGCAGAGGATAGATTCTGAGTTGGGATCCCACTCAGACAAATGCATTCCCATCCCAGCCCTGTGTTACCCTGTGGCCCAAAGTCACTGTATATAATTTTCCTTTTTCGTGAAAACCTTTCTATCTCTCAATAAAACCGTTAGATTCCCATTATAGACATTTATTATAAAAGCACTTTGGGAAGGCTATTTACTGCCCAACTAAAAGATAAATTGTTAAAATTAAGTGATATGAAACATTAAATGGAAATAAATGTTCCATTTACTAAGAGTTTAAAACATTGTTAGACAGTGTTTTATTGTAGATGTTCTAGGCAAACCATTAGTATATGTGTTTTTTGGAAAATATTCTGCATTTTGTAAGAGAAGCTCATGTGTACAAAGAGAAAGGTCACTAAAATAGAGCTGTCAGCAACCAGGAAAAAAAAAAAAAAAAAAAAAAGCCTGCCTGTGCTTTCCGTGTATGGAAGCCAGCAGTGTGCAGGCCGAGTTATTGGTTGCAAACGCTGAGCACGATGGGATTTCTCACGTGGAAAAGGCAGGGAAGTCAGGAGTGCCGCCAAGGAAACTGCTCCCTGGAAAAGCCTGGCAGCGTGTTTATGGGGTCTGGCAGGCCACCTTCTACTTCCTATTCTGGGAGGAGAAAGGAGGAGGGTAGCAGGAAACTTGGAAAGTCATCTCTTCGGTTGGAGGGAGGCAAGCACTAGGTCAGTGGTCGGCAAACTGCAGCTCATGAGCCACATGCAGTCGGAAGCTGCGGTTTGCTGCCCTGTTGACCGAGTTTGCCGACACTGGACGAGATCATTCTCTTCAGTTCCCCCTAACCTTTATTTTGAAAATGTATAAACCTTCAAAAAGAAGTTGTAAGGCCTGGCCTGCGTGGCTCAGTGGTTGAGTGTTGACCTCTGAACGGTTTGATTCCCTGTCAGGGCACATGCCCGTGTTGCAGGCTCAATCCACAGTGTGGGGTGTGCAAGAGGTATGGATCAATCATTCTCTGTCATCATTGGTGCTTGCTCTTTTCCTCTCTGAAATCAACAAAAATATATATTTGTTAAAAAGTTGTAAGAATAATACAATCTGTATACTTTTACCTAGAGTCACCAGCAAAAACCTATTACCTTCTCTTACCCTGTCCTACACCACACACTCACAAGGAAAGTAAGGGGGAATGCCAGCGTGGTGTGGCTCAGTTGGTTGGACATTGTCCCATGCACCGAAAGGTTGCTGGTTTGATTCCCAGTCAGGGCACATGCCTGGGTTGTAGGTTCAGTCCCTGATAGGGGGCGTGCAGGAGGCAGCTAAGCTATGTTTCACTATCACATCAATATTTCTCTCCCTTCCTTCCTCTCTAAAAATCAATTTAAAAATATATTTTTTTAAAGAAAGTAAGGCAGAAGCATTATAGCATTTCATCTGTAAATACTGCATCATGTATTTTCTAAGAAGACGATCTTCCAAGAAATTTTCAGTTGGTACAATATCATCTAATGTACAGTCCCTATTAATGTCTCTCCTCTCCCCCCCCCCCCCCCCAGTTGTCCCAATAATGTCCTTTTGGCTTTTTAAAATCTAAGCTTTAGTCAAATTCCTTCATTGTATTCAGTTGTCAAATCTTTTTAATCTTCCTTTGAAGTATGCCCACCCTTTTTTTTACTTTCATTTCATTATTTTTAAAAGTCCAGGCCGTGTTTCTCATTGAATATCTCACACTCAGCTGATTTTTCCTTATGGTTATATTCTCTCTAATATAGTCGACAAGAAAACTACCAGGAAATGCTATGGCCTTTCTGTTTCATCGAATCAGGAGGTACATACACCAGTTTGTCCACCTGTTGACAATACTCAGTTTAATCACTTAGGTAAGATGATTCCGTGATTTTCCATTGCAAAGGTACCTTTTTCCTTACAGCTTCAGGAGTCCTCAAACTTTTTAAAGTGGGGGCCAGATCACGGTCCCTCAGAGAGCTGGAGGGCCGGACTATATGAACTACTAATTCCTACTGTAACACCTCAGCTGCGCTCACTGCCCAAAAAACCTGGCGGGCCGGATCAGACTCCTCTGCGGGCCGCATGTGGCCCGCGGGCCGTAGTTTGAAGACACCTGGTAGGGGAATGGAAGGTTGGTACTTGGAGACTATGTGACCATTGCTTCTCACCAGCCTTCTCCCAGGGTGTTAGCATCCATGAACCTTGTGTCAGCAGGGGCTGCAAATGGTGCTTCCCTGATTCTGCCTTCACATCCACACTGATTAGCTGGCTTCTATCAGAAGAGCTTTCCCTCCTTTCCTTCTTTTTTTGTGTCACTGTGGGCTCAGATTCTTCTTATTTAGTATCTCATAGTCCACTACTGTCATTGTTCTCTTCGCTACTCAGGTTTTTCCAACGTTGACCAATGGAGGACCCTTCAGATCAGCTTCTTATCAGTTCCTGAGAGCTCCTCCTCTTTATGGTGTCATCGTGTCCACATGTTGTGTGAATGTAGCAGTTTATCCAGCCAGGACCCCGAGAATCACACGTCAGTTGTTACCAGTATTTTTCTCGCACAAGTAATGCTGCTGCTTGTGATGTTTGTATAATGAGCCTATTCCCTTACGATAGTATAAGGATTCAAATAAAGAGAAACAGTCTGGAAATATGGAATTAAAAGTGAAAGAATCCCTTTATATTTCTCCCTCCCACCCGAGTACCTGCTCTCCTCTCCCACACTGTTAACACTTCGTTCTGCTTCAACCGTTATTTTGTTGTAGTTGATGGAGGTTTTGCTTTATTTTTCCATGTTTAGTATGTAAAAAAACATACACTGTGTTTATTTTATGGAAGTATGATCATGCTATAATATGAATAGGGTTTCCACCTGGTGTCTTAGCTACCGTCTCACGTCTGGAAGTATTGAGTTACTTCATTCTTTGTAGTAGCTGTAGACAGTGGTAGTTCATAATACAGACTCACCATCATTTAGTCGTTCTCCTACTGATATTTAAATTATTCCTACTTTTTCAGTATTATAGACAACACAGTTAATAAGCTGCAGTGTATCTTTGCATATGCCCAGTATTTCTTTAGAAAAGATCCCACGAAGTAGCCTGGTTAGTTAACTACCACTGAGTCACTCTTCACATTCTTCATTACCAAGTATTAGCAGCATAATTTGTATTTGCAAATCTGGTAGATTGAAAAAAGAATGGTAGCTATTGTGAACCTAGGGCCCTTCAGTTTGCAGGCTGACGGGCGAGGGCAGTACCGTACACTTTTAGTGAATATTGTGATACCAGATGAGAAAGTCCCTTGTTGTTTTTCAAATATTTTTCCTCTAGGTGTATTTGAGGGCCGGGGAGAGATCAGCTTTATCCGTTTACGTTTTCCCAGCCATGTATGGACTGTGCCTTTTCCCAGGTCTGGGAGAAAACTGACCAGGCGTTCGGAGCTAAGGTTGAAACTTAAATAAACCTAGAAAAATTAAAGATCATTTGATCTTCTGACCTGGGAGAAATCTGATAGGGTTTGTAACACTGTTAAGTATTACCCAACATTTAATGTTTGTTTAATGAGCTTTTAGCTCATTCCCTTCTTTCAGGTATAGCTCTCTGCAGTTTACCTTTTCAACCCCTTGGACAGTCATCCCCATAATTTCCTATCTATCGATGTACATAGGTAATTTCACTACCTATGTTCAAAATATCCCTGTCTTCAGGGAGCTTGCCAGGAAATGAAAAGGAAAGCTTAGCGAGAAGAAACAGAGATATGAAAGCAGATGTCGGGTGAATTTTTAAGTCACTAAAAGAACTTACATATCAATTTTTCCCCTATCCTGGCCACGTTTCCATTTTGTGCTCTCAATGTGCTGGTAGGAAAGTGGGACATTCCTTTTGGCCCAGGAAGGAATCTACATGGGCTGTGGCACAAGCACAGGCACAGAGATAGGACCGAATGGGTCATTATCATACGAGTTTCCGAGGTGGAAGGGAAAATACCGAGAAAGGGGATCGGTGTGGGGAGCCGTGGCTTCCTGTATGTAATGTGGAGCCGAGTCCTCAGGAGCAGACGCTCTGAATCTTTCCTTTTCTCCTAGTACTGGATGAACGAGTACACCTCCTCCATCGGGATTGGAGTTTTCCATTCAGGAATTGAAGTGTATGGCAGAGGTAAGTGTACACACGGTCTCAGTACACTTTCTGGAGGTTTTTTCTTTAAAGGAGTTGCAAAATCCTAACTATAGTGCTTCCTTTCCATTTTTTAACTGCTTCCATAACTTTCTATTGCAGAAAAGTAGATCACTTTCCATATTTACTTATACCATATTTTGAGGAAATCTCTAAAGTTGAATGAATTGGGGGAAGTACATGAGTGTACATTCAGTTATCTTTTATTCTAAACTAGAGGCCCAGTGCACAAATTGGTGCACAGGCGGGGTCCCTGTGGCTGATGATCAGGGCCAATGGGGGGCCTGGCCGGCGGGGGAGGGACCACAGGGGGTTAGCCGGCCATGGGGAGGGGCCGTGGAGGTTGGCTGGACCCAGGGGGTGGGACTGTGGCAGGTTGGCAGGCTGTGGGAGGTAGGCTGTGGGAGCACACTGACCACCAGGGGGCAGCTCCTGCATTGAGCATTTGCCCCTGGTGGTCAGTGCACATCATAGCAACTGGTCAGCCGGTTGTTCAGTCGTTTGGTCACTTAGGCTTTTATATATGCAGATACCGTATTTTCTGGCGTATAAGACGACCCCCTAATTTTACTGTTAAAACATAGGTTTAGGCTTATATTCTCTGTATGAGACTACCCCGCCTCTCTGACTCTGGCCAATCTGAGCAGGCTTTTTACTAGAACACAGCGGTCTATTAAAAAAAGAACTGGTGTTGCCTCGGAAGTGGGGGGTAGTCTTATACAGCGAATATAGGCCTAAACCTATGTTTTAACGGTAAAATTAGGGGGTCGTCTTATACGCCAGAAAATACGGTAGTATGTCTTAAAAAATATTTTTCTTTTGAGATTGTTATACCACAACAATCGTTTTGGTTGGAGAAGGGTTGATTCTAGCAAGTGCCACACTTGAAATAACCAGTTTCCGGAGGGAATTTCAGTGATTTGTGTTTGTAGATCTACCAGTGTGAGGTTGTAAAGTTTTAAAATGTCACTGAGCAAGCTCTGCCCTTGATTACACCCGGCTTTCTGCTGGGGAGCGATGGTCTTGGCCACTCATTAGCTCAGCTCTTTTTATTCTTTATTACCCTCATCCTGGCGAGCACGCGGGCCACTCGCATTAGCAGCGCTGCTCTCAGCAGCTTGTCTTTGTTCTCAGGCCCACTCTCGGTGAAGATAATTTACTCCTGAGCGAGTTGTGAGCAGTAACAGTGTGCGTCAGACACACTGCAGCCTCATCAGGGCTGCAATAACACATTAGTTTGAGTCATAAACCCGCCCTGAGCAGAAACGCCTTGCATTGCCTCCGCGAGGCCGGCTTTGTGACTCTTCCAGTGTGTTCCTGCGTTGACTCAAAAAGGCCACCGACACGCCAGCCGCGCTGCCGGGAAGAAGAGGCTCGTGGACGTCCATGTGTCAGCACGGTGCTCGGGATGGCCCTCTCACCGGGGGGCAGCTGTGCAGTGTGGGCCGCACGGTCGCCGTGAAGCTCCCTCCCGGCTGGGGTATTGCTGGGGCATTGTGGTGTGGGCTTGCTCCCTGGTGTGACCTGGCTTTTGCCCAGTTGTGTGTGTGTCCTTTCCACACGCCTGTGCTCCAGGGGGTACAAGGGCCACTTTCCCGCTGGAGACACCAAACTGCTGAGAGCCATGCTGTGCATCAGCCACAACAAGCCCAGGGGAAGCCACGTGTTCTCTGCACAGGCCATGCCTCCCGTCTGCCTGAGCCCGGCTCCCCTCCACAGAACCATGGGGGGACAGTTAGAAACATGGCTGAAGCGTCCGCAGAAGCTTAGCAAAGCCAGGGCACGATACAGGGTGGGGCAAAAGTATGGAAACAATGCAGTCACTAATAATCAATACACACAACGTAAACCTCCTTTTGTTCCACTCTGTATTCCTGAAAGTGAACGGTCACTCCTTACATAGGAGAGTCAATGGCTGCGACTCATCTGACTGCTATTAAGTTAAAAATCCAAATACAGTCTTCCCATGGCCAACCTGATGACCACAGTGTTTTATTGACCCACATCTGTCATTAAAAACGTTTTAATGTATATTTCAGTACTGAGTGTGAAACACCTGTTGGTTATCTACATCCTTGCTTTTTTTCTGAAAGATCTGAATCAAAGGTAAACTCCGTGTCTGCCAGTTCTTTCCCACGCTTTGCTAGAAGATCTTTTCAGGTTACCTTTAATAAAAGATAAGTGATGGGATACATTTAAACAGGTGTTCAGAATTCTGACAATAAGCCACTAAGGTTGGCCACCTGAATACCGAAGTATCTCGTAGCAGAGCTGCAGACAGGACCTTCTGCTCCCTCCCGATCGGAAACCGTGCTCCCTGCTCACCTGGAGGAGCGGGCGGCGCTGTCAGGCAGGCTCCGTGTGAGGCTGTTAGTAACGCGCAGTTTATTTTCTCTCGAATGGGGGAGTGGAATTCAGTTTTCCAAGTTTGCTAATATTTCAGAGATAAACCAGGAGTCTCCAGCCAGGAATCATGGAAACTCATTGTTTTTTATTTTTTATTGATTTCGGAGAGGAAGAGAGAGGGGGGGAGAGAGAGAAACATCAGTGATGAGAGAGAATCTGGGATCGGCTGCCTCCTGCACACCCCACATTTGGGATGGAGCCCGCAACCGAGCATGTGCCCTGACAGGTAATCAAACAGACCTCCTGGTTCATAGAACAATGCTCAACCACGGAGCCACAGTGACTGGGCCAAAACTCGTTGTTCTTAGGCAGATTTTTTAGCAAAGTACACTTTTGACTTGTGATCGCCTTGTGAGAATGAACTGACCCCTCATTAGTGCGGCAGGCTCCATCGGCAGAGAGGCTGTGTGTACGTCGGGGTGTTAGTCACTCTCCTCTTACAATTAAACAAAGTAATTCTTGTGACTGTCTGAGTGTCAGGCCTTTTGCGCCAGCTGTCCTGTACAAGTAACAGCTAAATGAGATGTTTGTGGAAGCAGTGGTAAACCGAAAAATATTTAGGTGGTGTTATCATTTATTAAAGCTAGCTCAGCATTCTGGTTACGGTTTGTGTGATTAATACTAAAAATCATGAGTTTTCTCTTTTCAGAATTTGCTTACGGTGGCCATCCTTACCCCTTTTCTGGAATATTTGAAATTTCCCCCGGAAAAGCTTCTGAACTAGGAGAGACATTTAAATTTAAGTAAGTGGGAGGATATTTTTTTCCACTCTTTTAGTGCCAGCACTGTTTCCGGCGTACAGGACTCCTCTGCATGGGGGTGACATTAGCTTATCGTTGCTTTAGTTGCTGGCATTTCGTGTTCACATCTCCGCAGCTGGTAAAGAGGGGGCAGCCTGTCCTGTGCTGCCCTCAGACCCAGGGGAGCTACTCCATGGATTTGAAGCCGTTCTGACGGGTCTGACGCCAGCTCTGCTTTAGCAAAGGTTCATATCTGAGCCAGCCAAGAAGTGCTTACCCGAGTGTGTCTGCAGAAATTTAGAGAAAGCTGGCAAGAGTAAAGCCATGTTACAAGCCTTAAAGACATTGAAGTCTTTAAGGTTCCTGAAAATGGCTGAGAAGAAGAAGAAAATAGATAGATAGGTAAATACAATAGGTTCATATCTAAACATTGCTTCCCCTCATCTCCCGTTTGGGGGAGACGGAGGACAGATTTATTTCAATCTGCCTGCCGGCATCAGCAGTCTCTTCACGGCCCCGAGGAAAGGGTCTCTGTTCATAAACTTCCAGTAACTGACTAGCCGGGCCCCAGTGCTCGGGAGAACCCAGCGTGTGCGGCCCGAGTGGCTCTGGAGCCCGGAGAGTGTGAGCAGCGCCCGTCACCTCCTGAAGGTTTGGTTAAAGTGATGCTTAGAATCTTAAAGGTGCTTCAGAGAAGCTTCAGGCACGTGATAGTTAACTTGCCAAAATAGGGGAAACAGTGAAATGAGGTTGTACCACTGAAGTGCCGCAGAGGGCTGCCCAGCTGGCCAGCCCGTGTTCGTGGTTCCTCCGCCTGTGGCTGATGGAAACACGTCCCCCAGGAACGCTGCCCAGAGCCGTCCCGAGTCCAATCCGGAGGCCTCCCTCAGGTGCGGGTTTGAATATTCTTGGCTTTCGTGGATGCCCTGCCTGCTCTGCCTGAAATCCTCCAAGTGATTGGATGGTGACGGTTACGTGTCCGGGGTGGCAGCTGGGTGAGGGCAGGGGCAGTTAGGCACGGAGCGGCTTCTCTGATACATAGTGTGACGACTCACACCCAGTTGTAAATCAACGGTGATGCTGCATTTCCAATGTCGGGGCGAATAAAGGTACTGACGTTGCATTGGAATTGTTCAGACGTCATGTGTTTAAAGAGTTTATTGCAGAAAAGTAGAAACTAAAATAATTGACATTTTTAAAGTCTCATTTATCTTTAGTCTTAATCACCACGGTATTCCTGGCAATATCAAATCTTTAAACATGCTTTCTGTAAAGTCCTAAAGCTCACACAGCTGTGTTTTTCTCTTTTCTTTAAGAGAATCTGTTGTTTTAGGGAGCACGGACTTCCTAGAAGATGAGATAGAAAAGATTGTGGAAGAACTGGGGAAAGAGTACAGAGGCAATGCCTACCACTTGATGCACAAGAACTGCAATCACTTCTCCTCAGCTTTATCGGAGGTGAGTGCGGAGCGCTGCCCAGTGCGCTGCCTGTCCCGGGCGGGTGGCCGGCCGCCTTCCGGGGGTTCGTGCTGTGTGAGAAGATCTTACATGTCTCCTGTCCGCGTGGCCTTTCTCACATGGTGACTTAGCCAGCACAGCTGGAAACGGGGTTGTGTTTGCTGTGGGTACAGAGTGAGGAATTCATGTTATTACAACCTGAAACTTCGGTGCCTGAGAGACCACTGCTTGCGAGCCACTCGTATTTCTCTCTCCCTAACTGTTAGTTGCCAACTTGAGTTTTCTTCCCAGGCTCCTACTTAGAAGACATTCATTCTTCCCGTCTGGGAATCTTACTCTGCCAGCTTATCACGCAGGCACTTACTGGCCTTCCCAATCCTGAATCCCACGCGCAAGGCCAAAACTAGGTCAAACGACAGGACCTTGGAAAGGAAATGGAAGGAGAAAACGGAAGGTGCTCAGATAAGGCCTAGAGAATTAAATGGCCCGGAGCTGGGGGCGGCGGTGGAGGACAGCGCTCCCTCCTGGGCATTCCGGCCCCTGCAGGCCGCGTGGCCGGCTCTGCCCACCCCTCCCACTCCCGGGGCAGCGGCCAGCGGACTGGGGCACCACAGAGTCCGTGCGAGGGGCATCGTCTGCTCCACGACAGACATGCGAGTCAGGTCCTCCCTGGGGCACGGCTCGGTGCTCCCTGTGAACACGGAGTGGAGAAGCGGGACCACGGTGACCTGGGTGACCTCAGGGGAGGAGGAGGGTGGCTCAGGGTTTTCTGGAAACCAGCATGACATCATACGGAAGGCAAACGGGGGCCGGTGGCTCACAGGCTGTCTTAGGCCAGTCCGGTCACTATGCGGGGCGGGGCGCAGGCAGCTTCCAGGAGGCACACGGCTACACGGAGGTGGTCCCCGTCACCGCTCCCGTGGCTGACCTTCACCATGCAGAGTCCTCAGCGTGTCTCGGTGTGGAGGTAACGCCTGTGTGTGTTCAGTGTAGGCAGATGGCAGTGGGATGGCAGGTCAGTAACCATTAAGGCATAAGGCTCACCCTTTGGGGAGGAGAGTTACATCGCTTAATGACAGGGGTCAGCTCTGTGCATGCTTGCTAGTTTGGGGACATAAACCACTTGGAACCGTCCTTCCTGAATTATCAGCTGAGAAACGGATGGCGCTCTGGCTCCCATGTCACAGTCGTGGGCATGATGGAGGCAAGAATGCGAAAGGGACCTTGGTCAAGCACGGGGTCCCACAGAAGGAAGCGAGCAGTGAAGAGGGGGGTAGTTTTGTGAAAGCCAGTTTGAAACAGGAAAAGGGATCAGCGGAGGAGCCCTCCGGCCTCGTCTGTCTGCTGTCCCCGGTGGTCCAGCCCAGAGCCAGGCTAACTCGGGAGGTGCTGCTAGTGGACCAGCGTGAGCTCCTGAGAAGTGGGGCCAGTGAGGGCCGGGAGAATTCAGACAGGAACATACCCAAGTCTGCCCGCCCGCCCGCCCCTGGCTGGGCCTCTGTGCACTCCAGTGACCCTGTGCTTAAAGTCCGTGGTGGTGGCAGAGGTCTCTCCTGTGACTCGAGGCAAGGAAGGAAGGAGCAGGTGGAATAGCTCGTTTCACAGACTGGAGCCAGCAGCTGGCCAGGGCTCCTGAGGGAGGAGGCTGACAGGAGGGACCAGGCCCGCTGGGGGCTGCCTGTTAGCAGAGGCTGCCGCCCCGCACGCGGGCTGGTGTGCAGTGGCTGCCCGGCCTCCCCCATCCCCCTCCCCCAGGCAAGGACGATCGCGGTTATCTCTCCTAACCCAGCCCTTCCTCCTCCAGATCCTCTGCGGGAAGGAGATTCCGCGCTGGATCAACCGGCTGGCCTACTTCAGCTCCTGCATCCCCTTCCTGCAGAGCTGCCTGCCCAAGGAGTGGCTCACGCCCGCCGCGCTGCAGTCCAGCGTGAGCCAGGAGCTGCAGGGCGAACTGGAGGAGGCCGAGGACGCGGTCGCCTCGGCCGCCGCGGCCGCCGCCCGGCCCGGGCGCCACACGAAACTCTGAGGTCTCCAAGCCTCACTCCGCACCGTCTGGCAGGCGACCCACTGGCGAGAAGCAGAGAGGAAGCGCCCTAGGATGCTGGTATGCAAAGCTGGCTCTCCCCACCCCGGTCACAGCTCAGGATTCCATTTGTACAACCACCGCTCCGCAGGAGGGACTGCGGGCAGCGCCTCTGGTTTTTACCCTCTGTAAATCAGATTTCTGTTTTCTACACTCCCCTCAGTTATGTTTACAGTATTTTGTACCGCTGTTTACAATCCTGCATGGACTCCTGCCGCCGAGAAGAAACTCCACGTCTTCACTGTCCGTCCGGCAGCGATCGTACACTTCCCACTGCCAGGCCCTGGCCGTCAGGTCTGTGCGTGTCTGTGGAGGGTTTGGCACAGGATGCAGAGCGCGAAGGAGCACACACAGCGCGAGGCCGGGGGCCTTGTCTGCTGGGAGGCAGGCCCCCCCCCCCCCCCCCCCCCCCCGCGGGCAGCACATCTCCCTGGGTCCTCCCAGCCCTCCTCCGGCGGAGGCGCTCGCCTCGCCTCTGTCCGGGGCTTTGATGCCTCCGGCTCTGGAGTTAAGATGTTTTTCATTAAGTAACTGACTAGTACGGGCTGGAGGCCTCATTTTGATCTTAACCGGTGACAGCCTCCCTGCACGGTAGCTTCCGAGCAGCAGGGCGGGTGCCTTCCAGCTGCAGGGGACTGTCCAGCTGCCTTTATGAGACCTCGAGAGCTGGTCTCCAGCACACACTCCAACAGCGAGCTCCGAGGTCTGACACGTTGGCACCACGTCGGAGGGCAGTGTAGTGTCTTAGGGAGCACTTCTCCTCAATGGAACGCCTCCGCATTGACCTCTTGTTTAAGGCACATTTGTCATCTTTCAGTTCCTCTTCCTGTTCCCTCAGATGTACGTCTCCACGTCACGTTCTCTAGGGATGGGGTTGTCACACAGAGCCGTCCGGCCTCACAGCCAGGACTCTGTCTGCTGAGTCCGCTCCCAGCTCGGCCCTGGGTGCGAGAGCCAGGCCCTCACACGCCAGGTCCCGTCTCTCTGCCTTAAGAGTGAATGTCCCACGCGAGATGGATGCAGTGCACACGCACCAAGGCAGTGACTCCGATCCATGCATTGTTAGTTTGAAGTCCCCTACTTTTAGTCAGCGTCTGGACTGGAGTGCCCCTCCTCTTTGTAAAGATGCCTATCTTTCAGTAAACCACATTTTTAACTTTTCCATAAGCGATTCTGATTCATTTAACAGCTTCAGCACACCCTGTCCAGAGGGAAAACCCTCCTGAGTTTGCGTATCGGCCCGAGGAAAGGGAAGCCCGGAGGGAAGCTGAGCACTCCCGCTCGGGGGGTGGAGCACAGTGAGGAGGAGGACCGGAGCTCCATGGGAAGGCGGCTTGGTTCAGGTCTAGAGCGAGATGAGAACAAACACTAAGAGGCAAGCAGTGATCTGGTCATTCAAACCAGTCCCGTCCCCACCCCCCGCGAGGGGAAAGTGCGTTTTCCCGGGCTTGTCCGCCGGGGCAGGTCGCGGTTGCTCATCCATTCAGAGCACAGGCTTCCGGCCGGCTAGTGGCCAGCACATAAGCAGCTGCATTCCTTGTTGTGCTGACTTCAGTCTGCAGCCGCGGGTTAAAACAAGTCTCTGTGGCCCAGGGCCGGGCACAGTAACACCAGGCGGGACTCTGGGCGTGAGGTGGGCACCGTCTCAGTGGACTCCAGGTTGGGAAATAGATGTCGTTACTTAGGGGACCTCCCGCCAATGGGTCTGATGGGCTCTTAGCCAGCCTCGCCTCGGAGGGGAGAATCCTGCTCAGCCTGACCTTGTAGCACTCGGCCTCGGAGGCTGGACGATGGAGTCGCCCCTCACCGGCCCGCGGGACAGGAGGGCCCAGGGGAGGTCGGGCTGCTGGTTCTGCTGCTCCCCATGCCCGGGGGGGGGGGGGGGGGGGCTGTGGGGCCAGCGCGCCCTGCCCACAGCAATAGCGTTCCCTTCACCAGCACTGGCCCCGCAGGGTCCCCCCAGAGGTCAGCCCTGCCACCGCTGCCCCGTGGCTTCCCCGGCACCAGCCGGCGGCAGCACTCGCCGTGGTCCCGGGCGTCTCCTCGGGCTCCGTTTCTGCAGCCCCGGAGGCGTCTTCGCTGCGGGCAGCTGTCCCGGCTGAGACTCCATGACCCTGAAGATGGTTCCTGTGACGCTGAATGCAGATGTACTGTCATTCGTAGTGTTTCTACACCAGTACCAGGAACCTTCACTTTTGCTACCTTGATATAGCATTGGCTATCATGTTAACATTGAAATACATCGATTTATTAAAACATACTTTTGTAAGAAGCGGTTCAGCGTGCTTCCTGGCCTCCGGCAGTGGCAGCCGAGAGGCGGTTGGGTTGGCTGGGAGGTTATTTTTCTGCTCCAGACACAGCCCCCTCCTCCCTCCGAGGACAGCGGCGACGGGGCGTGGAGGAAGGCCCGGAGGGGGCATGCACACACACACACACACACACACACACACACACCCTCCCTCCCCCTCCTGAAGCCTCAGTGTGCACCTGCACCCTGGTTCCCCGCCCCCTGCCCTGCTCCTGCCCTCCCGCACTGCCCTGCTCACTCAGAAGCTCCTGGGGTCACAGCGTGTTCACTCAGTGACCTGGCAGGCACCTCCCTGGCTTCAGGGTCAGTCCGGCCCATCGGGCGCGGGCGGGAGGCAACCAATCCGTGTGTCCCGTGTGGATGCTTCTCCCATCCCCTCCCCACCCGCTCTACAAACCAATGGAAAACATTTCCTCAGAGGAGGACTAACCAAAAAACACCAAAATACATTCACTAAGGTAAACATTTATATTTGCTATGTGCTTATCCAGAGCTGGGGTGTGTGTGTGTGTGTGTGTGTGTGTGTGTAGAGATGTGTCCACACAGAGCTGGGCTGTGTGTGTGTGTGTGTGTGTGTAGAGGTGTGTCCATGCAGAGCTGGCGTGTGTGTGTGTGTGTGTGTGTGTGTATATAGAGGTGTGTCCATGCAGAGCTGGGGTGTGTGTGTGTGTGTGTGTAGAGGTGTGTCCATGCAGAGCTGGCGTGTGTGTGTGTGTGTGTGTAGAGGTGTGTCCATGCAGAGCTGCGGTGTGTGTGTGTGTGTGTGTGTGTGTGTGTGTAGAGGTGTGTCCATGCAGAGCTGGGGTGTGTGTGTGTGTGTGTAGAGGTGTGTCCATGCAGAGCTGGGGTGTGTGTGTGTGTGTGTGTGTGTGTAGAGGTGTGTCCATGCAGAGCTGGGGTGTGTGTGTGTGTGT